AATTTGCCTCATCATTTATTATTGACACATGTGGTTACAGAAGAAGTTGTGGAATATACTGTACGCACTTTTTACACTACAGTTTTTATATCCTTTCCAGACTTTTTGCAAAATGGATATGTGTCCAACAGAAAGCCTTAAGAATTATTTATTTGTTTTCCTTATTTCAAAACATTACATAGATATACAGTATACGTTATATATACAGTATATATGTCAATAAAATCTAAACATCCTGTAAGAGCACTGAAACTAACCAGATCAGAAGCCTACAATGTAATACATGTGCCTTGCTTTCAAAAGTGTTTTTCAGTATAAAATATGCAAAATGTCAGAATAGAAACAATAAGATGGTGAGCACATTTTTTTCTCTGACAAAAATATTAGTAAAACAGTCAAAAGTACTAAAATAATGACCTATTGCTATTCTTAAAAGTTGAACAAACCAGTCAAGTGTTTAGCACTGAAAGGGTGCACAGATTGCATTTGTACAATATATTAACATTTCTAAAATAAGGCCTCAAATATGCAGCTCAGTAAGTTTCAAGAATTGATTTAAAGCCCTATGAACAATCAGCTTTATAGGTTAAGAAAAGGAAAAAGATAGAAAAATATAAAATTCACATATGAATGCTAGCAACAAACATAAAAACATTTAATGAATTTTAATACAGTGACTGGGACAGCTTCAGGGTTCATTCAACTGCAACCTCACCCTTCTGATTTAAATGTGCGGTTTTGTTTCACAAGTCTAAAATGCCACAGTACAGTGTAATTTGAGCAGCAAACCTTAAACCTGTCAAGTCCAAACAAAAAAAACATCTTAATGCCTGAATCTTTTTGGCTTTTTCCATCCAAGCAAGGTCCTGAAAATGTCATCAAAATCTTTTCCATTTGACTAAAATAAAATGGCAGATGGATTTGTAACAGAACCTAACCTGGGTATAACAAAATTTGCTATGTGGTTTCTGACAAACTGTTGGACTCTGTCTGATTTATGTTTCTATAGAGGTGAAAAAAATTGGAACATACGATGTGTGTGCCTTCTTTAAGCCAAATGATTACCACTCACGGAAAGAGTAACAAAACATTTGAATGCACTGAATGCAAAGCATATATTATTTTAAATCCAAAAGAATAAAAGAGGAGCTCCTGAGTGTCTCAAACAGCCCTTGAGCAAAGAGCAGGCTGAGCCCTATATTCAAGGAGAGATGAACAAGTGGTTTTCAATTCAAGAACAAAACATGTGCAACATGTTAGCAGTATTTCTCTATGTTCGAAAGTAACTAAGTGAAACAATAAGCCATATTCTGTGCTCCAGAGTGGCTGAATCAGAATTCAGGAAAGGGAGTTTTATGTTGAACTGCGAAATCACAAGTTAAGTAATTGAATGGGTATTACTATACTTCAGATCTGTAACGTCTTAAAATGCTTACTGTACATATCCAAAAAAATAGAGGAACTGTGCTATGTACTGTGTCTTCTACAATGAACAATTCCATGACAACAGACGTCACTTGATTTCCTGGTTACAAAATAATATCCTGGCTATTCAGTGAAATGCTGTAAATAACAAAAATTGCTGTTCTAAGTAAGTTCCTTTAAACCAAGATAAGATAGAGGATCACCACAGTGATTCATGAACATCACAGCCATTTCATCCATCCACATATTCCTTTTCAGACTACACCTGCTAAAGCACAAGAAAATTGATAGGTTTTGAAGACTTCCAAGGATTCCAAAGCCTGCTGAGTCTCACAATGATCTGGTGTGGGCAGAAAAGTATCGCTGCAAACATGGAAGGTCCAAATGTGTCAGTGCAGTCGGTGTAACATTTCCCAAGAAAGGGAGACTGTGAATTTAATTGGAGTTTCTGTAAACTTCAGAATTCATTCTACTGCTACTACCACTACTTACATCATTAGTACAGACGTGAGTCAGTTCCAAAGGCGGCCATGCATGACTACCTCTCCCATGCTTCACACATGAGGTTGTGTTTTTTGGAACGTATGCAGTTCCTTTCTTTCTCCACACTTTAACATTTCCATCACTTTGGTTAAGGTTTATCTTGGTCTCATATGTCCATAAAACTTTGTTCCAAAACGCTCCTGGCTCCATCCTAAAGCATGGTGGAGGCAGTGTCATGGCCTGGGCATAAGATCTGGGACTACTTGAAATTTCCTGAGTCTGGCACACTGTACCAACAAAATCGTGAAATGGAAAATATGGAATTTCTGTACACCAATAAATTTTAATGGTTTGTGGCGGCCATGTTTTTTAAAAGGCAGCTATTTGCTGTGAAAGCTCCTTGACAGACAACATGACTTACGATATGCTTGCCATGTTTCGCTTTTGTTTGGATTTAACTGGCGACTCACTCAAGTGTTTTTCATCAAATCTGAGATGGCAGCCAAACCATGACACAATGACTTGAACACAATTTTATCATGGACAAGGCAAAACATGGCCAATTAAGTTTTAAACCTCCTAATGCTGAGTTTAAAAGAATAACAGTTTTCAACAGTGCATGTCATGGACACATAATGTGGCAGCCGGTGTAACTTTTAGTCAGACACTTCTTCCAATACACATTTAGAATCCTGCAGTATTTCATTACTTTTTCATTGGAGGGGTTCATACATATAAACAATATAGTTTGAGCAATTTTACTTTTTGGAAGACCAAAAGCATGTAGTGTACCTTGCTGTCTTGAGTGAAAATGATCATAAGCCATTCAGGAGTAAAATGCTGAAAACTCCAAAACAAAATTACAATCTTCTGTGCACCAAAAAAAGTCTGAGGTGATAACTGAGAGAGTGTGTCAGTATATATACTTTATACTGGTCCAGGACTATCACATTCATCTGAACCATCTATGGAATCATTTTCAGACTGTAGGCTACAACATAAGAAGTTCGAGAAAGAAATAACACACACATCAGCTGTATGGCTGTGGCTGCATGAAAATAGTTTGCATGCTTTGAGTCCACAAAGTCATAACAACTTGGCAGCTCAGAGATAGATATGCTGTCTTCTGTAGGAGCATTCTGTGAGCATCTGATGTGGTAGCAGAGAGGGGAGTTAGGTGTTTTGTCCTTGAGAGACCTGATGGAAGACAACATGGTGGAGATGTTGTGGTGACCACTATGCTGATTTCTTAGTTGTTCAAGTTATCCTGTGAGTAGGGGGGGGTAGAGTGATGCTGATGTGGAGAAGAATCTCCTTTCCAGATTTGGAATACCTTTGGTGAACACTGAGGATAGCCTCGCGGATTAGTGATACACTGATGAAATGCTTGTGCATTACAATGCAAGGCGATACAGTATCAGGATAACAACGACTAGGATGGTAAAACATTAGGAAAATGACAACAAACTTCACCCGTGGGCTGCAGCTGAACATGACGAGTGGTGGATCATCCCACAACAGTCTGTCCAGAGGCTGGTCAGGTGTGAGCACAAATGCTCAGGTATGAGTACAAATGCTCTTAGGAAGTCATACTCTATTCCTTATACTGTTTGAATTTTGGCAGTGTGCCATGTTTCATATTTACTTATTTTTACAGTTATGATATTGACAAACTGTATTCAGGACTCCTTATGTATTGCACAATGTATTTATCACAATTGAATTCATTAATGTATAAAGCCTGTAATGTTCACTTCCTTAAAAAAATAAAGTTTTAATTACACTGTATCCAGGGCATTCATGAATATATCGATAACTGTTGTAAGAGGCCAGCAGGTGAAGGCAATACTGCAGTTCTTGTGTTCATCAGAGAGGGATAGAAGCATCCCAGCTATCTACAGGAGGGGATATATGGATTAAATGTAGTTAGAACTAAAAAACAAGCTAGTGTCTGTTTTTCTTTTGTGGAGATTTCCTTGCTGTACATAAAAGGGAGCTTAACTACATCTTCGTGTCCATCTCCTGAAACCCTGAAACCCTCCATTTTGTAACAATTCCTACTGCCAAACTACCAACCCAGTTATATCATACTGAATAGAGTGTATATAGAAAGCTGTCATTTCCAAAGGCCATTCCAGTCACAAGGTAAGTACACACAGTAATGCGTACAGTAGCTATACAGATGGATAATGGAGATGTCTTTAGAATTCCACGAACGGTAGGTTCACATGAGCTGAAGGAACTGTGGATAATGAGGTACTGTTAAAACAAGGCCTTGGCACCACTGCATCCGTAAGGCACCAGATATTGTACTGCTGTTACCAAGGCAATCCTCCAGTTCCAGACAATCTGTGCACCGTGGATGCTCAATGCTAACAACGGGCACTCTGTGCTGCCCAGTGCCTAACAATCAGCTTCAGATGTATCCCAGTCCTTCAATTAAATTCATCGAATAGCCATCTTCACATGCAGTCAATTTTGAGACTACAATACAAAAAAAAATCAAAGTAAATAAATAATTACTAAAAACAATGTGCAGATGTCTGTGTTTTTGTCAAAAAGGGGTATTTTTTAACATTAGAAAAACCTAAGTTATTCATGTTTTTCGCTCTGTTTAGAAATTTTCTAATCATTCTATTGGTCTTGTTATTTGCATGAGAAGCAATTAAACAGCAGAAGGTGGTGTTTATGAATGCCAGTGTGCCAGGAAAAGTACTATAATTAAAGACAATATCTGTCTGCACCGGATCTCTCTGAGCACAGTATTATAGCGAACTCTATCAAGATGGAGTTTTTGAGGTACTGTACTTTCTGAAAAGGTTTTCTCCTCCCTCTTTCTTCGATAGCTTAATGGCCTTGTAAACCATACCTTCACCAGTGCTTTGTTAATGTCATAAATAAAAAAGAACTAAATGTTCACTGTTTCTAAATTGCAAAGAAAACAATCTGTTCTTTCTAAAATTGTTTTTCCAAAATGAAGAACTGCTTGTTTAGTTTTGTGTGTATGGTGGTTGTGCTTGGGGAGGTGTACTATCCATGGAATGTGTGAAAAAATTAAGTGGTCAGATTTTGAACCCAGCGGTAACACACGTCTGTTTCGTTTTCAACTATACTGGACTACTTACTGAAGTCTGACATTTTCAAGTTCACAAACTACAGCTATATCACAACCCTATTAGGATGCATCTCTCTGCTGAGGTGAGTTACTGTACCGTCGTCATTAAGTCACTAAAAAAGGTTCTGGGATTTGGACGTTTTTATTCTTGTTGTTATATGGTTAGATATTCTTTATTGCACTTATAACAATTAAAACTCTTTAAAAAAAAAGTTCAATTTTGTTCCTTATACACATAATGCCGGCATTGCAAAATACGCCGTAACGTCTTTACAATCCGAATAAAGTAATATACTGTACTATGCGCAAAAGTAGATGCATAAAGTTCTACTAAGTGTCGGTTAAGTGCCTGAAAGTTACGCAAACTCAAGTTCACGACGTTCGTGACGTTAACTCCCCTGAATATTACTGTAAATTAAGTGATCGGTAACAAAAAGTACAGCAAAATACAGCTTTACTGTACAGTCTTACAGTTGCAGTATTTTTGTAAACCAAATGTAAAAAACAATAGTCTTTAAAGTAAAAAATAATCGAATAGCATGTACTTTTGTACTGTAGGTGACTACACAAACACACAGTACAATTAAAATACATCATAAAGTTATTTTGTTTGTATTGTGTTATTAATGGAAATAAATGTCCAATTCACGGATTAAAGCAGAGCAAAATACACTCAGAACAGTATTCCAAAGTTTACTACGCGATGCAATCTTTCTGTCTTCATGCCAAACGTTGTCAGTGGTATTGTGCAAGTTCATTTGGCACGCTGTCTGATTCGCCATCTGGTTAACATTTAGGGAGAAAGGACGAGAAGCCAATATTGGAGCACGGATAACCCTGAGCCCCCTGAGACCACAATACGTGTCATTAACATTTTTGTTTCACCTACAAAACAGGTCAAAATATCTCCGGTTAATTACGACGTTACGCACACTGAATTCAATTAAAATAAAAATAGTTTGCGAAGTAAAAGTTTGTGTACAAACCTAAGAAGGATACAACAGCTTGTAAACATATGTTGCACGAAACAGCGTAGAAAAACACTAAGTGATATTCCCCGAGGACATGCACAAGTTGAATTTACAGCACAACAGGCGTTCGTATGCTAACAATTTTACAAGATGGCAAACCGTCTGGTCAATGAGTACCAGTCACTCAATTTAACTTATCCGTATCCGAAGCTGTGTGGTACCATCACTGGTACAAGTTACTGTTATAAAATATTACATATACTATACTATATACAACTATATACGATATAACGATTTAACTTGAAATGGTCAAATGTAGAAAAGCTCACAACGAGCCACATACAAGTCTGCTTCTGGGCTACATACAGTACAATAGCCTGGACCACTGACATCAGTATCGTATTCCACAATATCACAGGTATATCCAGGCGTGTGTAGTCAATACGTATTTACCACTGCTATGGAAATTATATTGAGGATGCAAGCTATTTTATCATATATTCAAGCGCTTCATTGCGGGAAAACTCAACAATATTACCTATAAATCAACAAACGAAACAGAATCGCCTGGTTCTTACCTGCAATCGTTCTGTCGCAGGTTGCCACATATTAAATACAGTCGCGGTTTTCCTAGCTATTTTATTGTTTGCTTCTGCCTGATGTGTAGTCCAGCTCACATCTGCTACCACAGAATGATCTCTCTCGTCTTCTCCCCTGCAATCCGAAGTAATTCGAAGAAAACAGTGAATTCCAATGGTAAGCGAGAACGGAGCTCCGCCTGCAAAAATAACAGGAACCTTTTTACTCAGTTCCAATGAGAAACTGCAGAAGGCAGCCGAGAGAAGAGGTCTGCGCATTCTTTATAACACCATAGAGCTCAACGAGCTTCTTTCTACTGGCCTTCAGAAGTTTCAGAAGTGGACTTCATCATTCTGTGAAGCAAAAGCAAAAACCCCAAAAAGTTACCATGAATAAAAAGAGGTCAAACGGTACAGCATTCATACAGCATAAGCATATACTTTTGGCTTTAACTTAAAAAAAAAAACATTTATGGTAATAGCACGTTTTAGGAACATTTCATTATTTAAACTGGATTTACTAAAATGAGCTAAAAAAAATCTCACTTTAAATAAAAGGCATTATAAAGTAAAATTGGGATTAATTATTTTAATATCACGGTTTTTAGCAGCACATTGGATCATTGGGAAAAAGAAAGAGCATTGAACATTACTTTTTAAAGAAAAAAAAACTTCCATGAATCATTCATGACATGCTTACTCCTTTAGGCCATACAAATCTTGAAAATACTAGGTGGTTTCCTCTTTCGCTGTAACAGCCAATTGCTCATGTTTAAACTGTGTCCAGAAACACGGACCCCCAAAGGAGTAGTAGCGTTTTCAAGTGACTGAATCGACAAATCAAAGCAAGAGAGATTATGGGCCAGGCAGTCTGACCTTGGAGATGGCGTGGAGCGCAATCAATAACAGTCCCAAGTGTCTTGTTAATTGTGATACTATTGTGTAGCCAAATGTGAGTTGTAACTTCTAATATTTTCTTTAATAGAAAAGCATGAAAAATCCATATGTTTTCCATGCATGTCAACAGACATACATTTAATATCACAGGATATTCAAATTCACGCTAGATCTTTTGATCTAACACATTGAATTCTTTTTGGGATGAGATCATATATCATATATCTCATATATATATATGTCACAATATCATCTTCTCCTATAGTTTTACACATATCTTCTGCGCTCTTCTGTGAAAAGAACGTTGACAGCATCCTTTTTTTCAGAATTAACTAGCACCAGTCAGACAAATATGTTTACTAATCAACAATAAAATAAAAATAATAGTAACTATTCTCTTTGTGATAGGGACAGTACATACTCAAATAACAGTAAAGAACCATCTGAGAAAATCTTGTTAGATTTACACTGCACTAGCAGCTAGACTGCTAGTACTGATCCAGAAACGTCTGAGCATTGATACCTCCGTTTAGTGACAGTGTGACACCTCCAGTGCTGTCATCCTTTATTATTAACATTGTGCAATAGTTTAGTAACTGAACTGCTGCCTTGAATCTTGTGGCTCAAACAGTAGAAAGGGTTACAGTGTGCATAAGTATTTTTGGAGAGGGTTGGGCTTTGTTTAACGTGATGTTGTTGCCATCAGCGAAATAAGTTCCTCTTCTCGGCCAAAAAAAAAGAGGAAATGTGCATCCATTATTTAAACTCATGAAGATGGTTTTATGTTTGATATGAGCTACACATTCAAGGATCTGGCTTCAGTTGTTCATTATTCCAGTTTGGTACCATGCTTCTGGACTGGGTTGACAGATACAGCTTGCAGAACTTGTAAAGGCAGTCAGAGAACTGACTCCTGGCTGCCTGCTAGTTGCAGCACTCTGCTTCTATTGGTTTCCACCACATTGATCTGCACAGCCCTTACTGAAGTCTGAGCCAACGGCAGAGCGGTTCCTAATCTTCTGTGATCCGGTCAGAATAACAGCATTGGGATGCCCCCCACTCCGTTCCTTTGTCAGACCAGGAATTAAACCCTAGAAGGCAAAATTGAAAGTTGACAAACCTGTCCCCCCATGTCCTCCTGCATGGTAGGGGGGTGGAAGCCAGAGTACCCCAAGAAACCTCAGGCAAACACACGCAGAACGTGTAGAACTTCATACGGACAGATGCTGAATGCCAGACCCAGGGACCTTGAGCTGTGAGACGGCATGCCACCGTGTGAGTGCTCACCAGCATGCTCGTCTTGGCACCAGACAGTGCCCCTGCCACAAAACACTCACTCCCGTTAGCAGGCCTTAGAATGTAATCAACAGGCCAGGATAATATAAATCAGTTCTGTGAAGATCACAGGAGCTTCTGGATTGCCTTCTAGTTTCCTCTAGATAATTCAGCTCAATTGATCCACTGTAATTATTTCTTCCCTTGGAAATATTTAACATTTTATTCAAGGCTACTTAAATGTGATTGTTCACAGACAAACAGATTATGTGACGCTAGCTGTAGAAGCTTACTTCAGGACAATAGTGTCAGCTTTACTAAGTGATCAAATAATTAACCCAGTTACAGTAGGTAAGGTCTGGGATGAAATAAAAACCAAAAGACTCAGTTACATACTCTGTATTTAAACTGACATGGCAGTAATAATGCAGAATTTTCTGAAGTTTCCAAAAACTTTAAATCCCCACCCCCCACTCTGAAGTCCTTACTACAATTAGGTAATACGAGCCAGACATAATTGCCATCAACTAAAAAACAATAGCATGAATTCCTTTATTACTTCATTCACATTTCAAATTCAAAACTCAGTGCCTTTAGCTAATCAAAATTATAAACACATTTCATCTAAAGTCAGAGTAATGTATTTTACACCCTGCGTGAAACAAATAAGCATGCATCATTACATTCATTTTGAGACTGATTAATTTCACAACACCCTCCAGATACAGCAATTTAATGTGACCGGTGATATGTTGTAATATATAAATGGTAAGATGCAATATAGTAATTATTCTATAAACATTGTTTGTGACCTATATTATTTGGCATTATTATTTTAATACTTAAATAAAGTCAAAATACAGTATGAGCAGATTTTGTTTTCAGGAGCATGGTGAAATGGACCAGAGATAAAACTGCTGAATTTTGGTGATGGACCCATGTATACAAAACTGAAAAGTGTAAGTTCAATTAATTTGTATGAAAAAACATTTCACTATGGCATGAATTCTAGGTTGGACAGCTGTTACACATGATTTCTGAAGCAGTGTGTCTGTGTATTCCCCTAACTTGAAAAACAGGGCAACAGGGAGAGAGACACTAACACCTCTCTAGTTTGGCTAATGAAGGGTCACTGCCAGCCCTCTTCCTCGTGGGGATGAATTCTCGGGTGACAATATGCAGTACAGCAGCCATCTGATCTTACCCAGCATGTCTCTGAGAGACGAAACCAGAGCACCTGGACAACTCCCATGTCACCTTTAAATAATACAGTACATCCATCTGTTTTCTAACCATTCCACATGAGGGCTCAAGCCTATCCAGGCAAGCAACAGGCCCAGGGGAGGATACGTCCTGGATAGGATGCCAGTCCATCGTATAGCACCTTTAAACCATTAATACAGTATATGGAGGAATTTCCATTTGACCACTAAAGCAGTTATTTGCTCAAGTTAACGTGTCTGGAGGTTGGTTAAATACCAGAAACTTGTATTTCTCATGGATCCTGACTGAACTGAATTGATTAACACAGTAAACTAATCAAAAAGTACAGTACAGTCCAAGTGTTCCAAGTGCTGGTCACTTAAAGGCCAAATTCATCCACAGCAGATTATGGACTAATCCAATCCTGCTTCCAGTATTTTCTGGCAGGAACTGGCTATTCTGGCAAAATTACATTATGTCATATGATATTTACTAACAATACTTTGTTTTTCATCAAACAGGTAGGGTATCAAATGTAATGTATTGTTCTTTGTTCTTTGTCAACTGCAGCTCAGTTTCTGCAAAATATGGTTGTTGTGTATGTGTTTTGTTTTACATGCTTTGTAACATGGTTATATAGTGTGCAAATATTAAAACACTTACACAACATCACAAACCACAATGTGCAAAAATAAACCATTATAAAATAAACATTGATGAGATTTTGTGGAGTTTCTGAAAATCTAAGGACCATTCTTTCCCCACATAATGAACAATCTACTATACTTTCAAAATGTATTTCAGAAGAAATCTGTTTTATTTTAAGAAACACATCGTTGACAAGTGACGGAGATCCTCCAGCCTAGCCTGACCTGGCTCCAGCTGAAGCCTCCAGGGCAACATCCTAACCAGATCCCCACACCACCTCAACTGGCTGCTCTTAATCCAGAAGTGTTGCCACTGTATGCCCAGGCTCTCCCACAGCAGTGACAGATGTGTTGTCAACACATATTTGATAAGTCCATTGAAACTGTTCGGTTACTAACTGTTGCACATACAGTACAATACAGTTGTCAGAAGACTGAATTGCTTCATCTTAAAAAGCAAATATTTCAGAATGAACAGGAAGTACAGAAAAGGAAGTGTTCATTTTGACCTTTATTATCTCATTCAACATATAATAATTTAAATACATGTTTTCTTTAAAAAAAGGAAGATGACCAAGGAAGAATATTTTTCATATCTCAACATGATGCATTTAAGAAGAATTAAAGACTGACCCCATTTAAAACATCACAATAGTATACTGTACATTTACAGAAAACTATACCTGCTACAAATAAGCAAAATTACAGCAAACTCACTATTGGAACTTCCCAGCAGTGACATTGTCATTAGCAGCAAATGATCAAATTATCTTTACTTGCATCAAATAAATATCTTTCGTCTCTTGTATTTCAGCATTTCAATTGATTTTCCCATCACGGCATATTCACAAAAGAGCCATTAATTATCTTAGTAATTCAGGCAAAACATATCTGAAATAAGTGACATCTGTGAGGTCTGCAAAATAAAATAATGAAGAAATTATATAGTATAACCATGCACCATATAAGGCAAAACCTAAAGCAGTTTCCTATTTGTTTTTGTTGTACTTTATAACAAATGCACCTATAACTACAACATTTTCAATTACTCTTATCAGCACTAGGTGTTGATGTTTCTATGCTGTTTCTACAATTTTATTTTACCCTATCAATTAAACTGGCACCATGGAAGCTCACACAGTACTCTGTTTAAAACTAGTCCAATACTACTAACCAGTAGCGGTTGTGTACATAGTAATTTTGTTCACCATTTATTAAATAAATGCACATACCAGTATATGCATACTAAAGTATTAATATAATAACATCACAGATTCTGACATTTAAAATATATTTATCAAATTCTTTCCTCTTATGTTTGTTAATTTAGTTTTTTAAAGAAATACTTAAAAGGTAATTTAAGTACATTTCTCCAAAAGTTGACAGGCATTTTAATTTTACAAGTCTTTTGTCTTGATCAAGGTCACCAAAGGCTTGTCATCAGGACTGTAGTCTTCATAAGCAATTGGAGTGGCATCATACATTGCTGGTCTAGACTTCTTTCCAAATCTGAAAAGAAATGTATACAGATATTGTAAATATACTGTTACTACTAGTATTGTAGATGACACATTCATTCATCCATCTTTTAATCAGATCGTCATTCCATCCATTCATCTATCCATCGGTCAGTCTATCCATCCATTCAACCATTCATCAATCCATCACTCAGTCTGTCCATTCATCCATTCATCCACCAATTCATCAAGCCATCGCTCAGTCTTTCCATCTATTCATCCATCAATTCATCAGTCATTCATCAGTCCATCAGTCAGTCTGTCTATCCATCCATTCAGCCATCCATCCCAACTTTAGCTTGATTGTGGTTATATACAGTAAGTGATTACTCATGTTATCCTGTCTAAACTGGGGGACCCCAGGAGCCAGTGTGCCAGTCTTTCCTGCAGTGATCCATGGTGACCACCTAAGCTCGGCAAGAGTGACAGATACCTGGCATGCCGGATGGATGCAATGGCATTGCTCAGTTCACTGTCAATGCTCCTGCAGTTGTAGAATTCCTCGTATGCTGGTCTGGAGGAGCCCTGGTACTCAATGCGACTGATGCGGCAGATCCCCACTATGAGGATGATGAGCATGAGAACGAAAGCCACACACAGAGCCCCGATGATGATGTACAGGGAGTGCCTGGGCATGTTGCTCAGTGTCTCTGCTGTTCGGCTGGACTTCCACTGCAGATCTGGATGGTGAACATACAGATGGACAGGTTAAGTGAGAACCTACAATATTTAATTTATTGCAGCAATAAATACAGTTTTATGAAGTGTATTTTTGCAGTGTCAACTGATGTGTGCTGTTGCAATGGCTGGTTGTGTTCCTGGTCTCCTCTTGGGTTGAGGAAAAACAAGCTGCGACTTTGGATTCGTCTTTGTGTTTGGCATTTGAAATAAAGAAAAATAAATCAAGCAAGAAAGATCTTCAGTAACAAACTACTGCTAATGAGGGCATACTACTGGTTTTGTATAAATACCAAATATAGTGGCTATAAAAAGTATTCACTCCCTTTGGCATTTTTCACCTTTTATTTTCTTACGTCATGGAATCAAAATGGATTTATTCCGTTCGGGAATCTCTAAAACTCTAAAGCTTTTTCTCAATTATATTCACACAAAAACCAGACAATATTTGATTATATATTGATCACCTCCTTTGTTTTAATACTGGTGGATGCACCTTTAGCTTCAATTACAGCTAATTGTGAAGTAAAAGTAAACCAAAACAAAGTAAAACAAAGTAAAAAACTTACGTATTTCGCAATTGGTCCCAACCCATCCTTGGGGGCAGTGGCAGATAAAGCCGTTTGACTGGTCAATGCAGGTGCCTCCATGATGGCAGGGGTTGCTGTCACACTCATTGATGTCGACGTCGCAGTTCTCCCCTGAGAGGGAACAAGGACAGGCCTGCTAGCACATCTGAGGAAACCAGTCCGGTGTTCGCTGAATTTTAAGACACACTGGTGTCTAACTACCTGATTCAGAGGACTGTTAAAAGAGGCTGAGAGGCTAATTATTAATTAACTACGGATGAGGAAGTTAACTTAGGAACCTGACAGAAACTATTCATTGTGTTGATCTGCGTGGCTGTTTTAAACGCAAACGCAAAGCCCCATTTCAACCAAATGCAAGCAATAAAGTAATATAAAAAGCAAACGTCCATGTATTTGTATCACATTTCACATCTCTGTAGCAAAATAAAAGTCAACTAAAAACCTAAAGGAAAACTGGAGTTTTCTGGAAGACTCAAGATGGACAACAGCAAAAGAAAACAGGGAAAAAAGAAAACACTTAAAAAGTCAAATTACTATTTACTTAGTATAATTGAATGGGAACAGGGGAAGAGGTGACTTTAGGTTCTAGATGGTTGTTTTATATAGCAGTCTCACTGGACAGGGTAACATTGACCACATGTTTATGTCTGTGCTCCATCCACTGTTACAGCTACACCACATTCAGTGTAACCCCTTCATTTGACTGTGCAATAATGCTTGGCTCAACATTGCAAGGAACACTCAGGAAGATCTGGTTCACTGACCACTTGTATCATTGGAATATTTACCCAGGCGAGAATCTGTGGATCAATGTGGAAAAATGAATACAGTGCACAAGTGTCAGCGACTGAGAATATTTATTTTGCTGACCTTTCAGGCAGAGTATAAAAATGCCCCGATCATTATTTATGCTGCAGTTTGCCACAGGACTTTCATGATTGCATCCAATCATTTTCTAATCACTTCTTCCGATCTCTGTTTGTCTGGGATCCAGAGCCTATCCTAGCAAGCAGTGGGCGCAAGGCAGGGTACACCCTGGATGGGACACCAGTCCATCACAGAACAGACACAGACACATAGTGTACACCCTCACACCAGGGCAAATTTGTTTTCCAGAAGGCAATTAATCTACTAGCATGTCTTTGGACCATGGGAGAAAACGACAGCACCTGGAGGAAACCCACACAAATATAGGGAGAACATACAAACTCCACACACATAGCAGTCAAGTCCTGAAGATAACCCAGGGCCCCAGTGCTGCAAGGCAGCCATTTGAACCATTGCGCCACTCTGCTGCCTCATGATTGTATTTCAGTACTTACTGCCTGATTTAATACATCATGTTAACTTTGTCAAACGGTTGTTTATAATGGGGGAATTGTTGTTTTTGTGTAAGATGAGATTTTGTATTTGAAATGTTTTAGGCAGTAAACTTTAATAAAATGAGGTTTCCATTTTATACAGTACATATCAGAGGAGTATTATGCTGGTTGGCATCATCTTGTAATGCACATGTTTCTAATAGGTTACAGTTCTGACTTGTGACCTGAATGGGCAACAAATCCAATTTATTTCTAATGAGCAATATGTATTCTGCACACAGAAATAGTTTTTAATCTAAAGGCTGACAAGGGGACATGGGCTGTGGTAAGTAATGAATTTCCATCATAAGATTCGCACCACAGCACATGGAATATGCAATTAAATTGTCTCTCTAGATATCTCTCACAAATGTTCCGTTACAGAAAAGGAAACACTCTTGTCATGTGGAGCACCATGTTGTGTGTTAACCTTTAAAAAAAAAACACATCCAGATTCACACAAAGGATGTTGAAAACTGTATTGCTGTAAGTTTAGCCTTTTTTCACCAACCTGCTCAGGGAGGTGAATTTTCTCCTGGGAAAACTTGGAGATCAAAAAGTGTACGAGGCAGGTAAACCCATACAGTATATGACATGCATGCTTAATACAGGAGCTATGAGTTCGGCATGGGATCGTTCATTTAGATGTGGCTAATGGACTGATTATTTTGTTACTGCAGGGAATGACTGCTTGGCTTACAGTAGGTGTGTACTAATTCAATTCCATTTGCAGGTAACAAAAGTAACACCAGCAACATTTTTTACAGTGTAAAGGTGCTGCTTATATTGTAAATGTTTTCTCAATGTTTTAATCCAACTGCTCACCTAAGAACCCTGGTGGACACAAGCAGGTTGCATTCAGTCCTTCGCTCTCACAGGTACCCCCGTTCTGACAGGTGGTTTTGAGACAAGGATCTTTGTAGAGTTCACAGTGCTTCCCTTTAAATGAAGCAGAAAGAAACATTTCCGTTATTGCTTCTGTACTTTTATGGTTGAAAACGCTTTTTAATGATTTTACTCCACAACAAACGCATTCACACATTGTCATATCTCTCCTTTCTTCCCGCAGAAGACAGAGTGGAAAACGTAGGACGAAGTCAAATATTTTAAGCAGGATTTACTGTATATCCCATGAGAATAAACTATATATTCCCTAGTCTGTATTTACAAAGAAGAGCAATGTTTCATTTTTTGGAGGTATCTGAGCATATTAGCTCTGCAATTCTGAAATCCAAGTGCTCTATACTCGCAGTGTAAATTAAACATGTACTACATTCATGGATTCATCAAAGACTCCAAATCCCATTAAAGAGGAAAAGAGGATTAACATCCTTTTAGAGAAATTGTGATAGTTATCTGGTCCAAGGGGAACATCTTTCCTTTTATGCATGGTTAGAATGCTGCCATGGGCCTTGAAGGTACAGTACATGGTAACAAGAAAACTAATTGTATTAGTTTAAGAACATAAGACCAGTTACAGTACAAATAAGTGGAGACCATTTGGCTGTGAATGTTCTGAGCTTGTTGGCAACCATGATTGATCCTCCACAGGGGTACAAGTACATCAGTCACACTGGCCACCAACGATACAGTGTAAGATTCTTAATGAAGAAACTGTGCTTGCTCATGAACTGCTCCAATAATGACTGGAGCCGCTATTACAACTTTTATTGCAAGGGGCGTTGCAGGAATCAGGGAGGGCTGTGCTGAAGGGTAGTGGTTGATTCCTGGAGTGTGCTGGTACTGTTCGCCTGTTTGTTATGGAAATGAAACATGCTGTAACACCAGGTCTGAGAAAGGCCAGATGAATAGCTTTCCCCATTTCCCATGGTTTTACTTCATACAGCTGTTTGCCCTGCAAAATGTGTGAAACTCATAGATTATACAAAATTTAAGCAATAATTTGTAGGAGGGACCATCATCTTCTTTTAAGAAAGGTTGCTCTACTTCGATCACGTCAATCAGTTTAACATAGTTTAACGTACTGTATAAAAATTATAGGAAGCTCCAAGTAGAAGGCTTCATATTAACTTCCATCCATCCTCTAAGCACCTGATTCAATCAAGGGTCACAGGGGAGCCAACCTTATCCTTGTATGCAAATTGGTGCAAGGCAGGGTACACCCTGGACAGGACACCAGTCCATCGCAGGCACACATAGACACAAACACAGATACACACTCACACCAGGGTCAATTTTCACAGAAGCCAATTGACCTGCCTGCACGTTTTTGGTCAATTGTGGGAAATTGGAGTACTGTTAAACACTGTGCTGCCACACACTGCCGCCCTAATAATAACTTTTTTAACTTATAAACTATAAAACACTTCATTAACATGATATTAAGTTGACAAACACTACACATACCTTCATACTCTGATGAGCACAGGCACTCGTAGCCATTAACGAGGTCTTTGCAGGTTGCCGCGTTCTGACAGGGGGCTGACAGGCATTCGTTATACTCCTCCTCACAGTATAGGCCATGGTAACCTGGCACAAAGGACAATAAAAAAGTACAGACAATTATTGTGAGAAAGAAATAACCATGATATCCTCACATTCTTTCTTTGTTAATTGGATAGCTGCAAAAACACTTCCTTGTCCTTTCATACAGTACATGACATTGCTGTTGTTTATCGTTGTTTTCTGTTTTGTATTCTGGTTTTTTAAGAGAATGCAAGTGAATTTCTGTTAATGCTTACATATTGCCTCTAGGAACAACTCAAGAGGAAAAAAAATCAATGAAAAGAAGATCAATTCAGAAACATTCCAATGAGGAAAAATGCATGAAAGGTTGTCAGGGAAGTTTTGTTTCTTAGAAATGTGGAGTGTTAAAGAAACGCTCAAGCACAACATTTTAAATACAGTATATGTAGATTCCCTACAAATTTTAACATGAAATATATTTTCCAGAAAACAAAAAAGAGATGTCTGTAAATATGCATAATATGTATGAAAGCTATTAAAATATTTGGAATTGAAAGTCTTGTTTCTCGATAATTACAAGATCCAAATTAATCCGAAGTTTTGCCTGTTGGCCACTTGATGGCAGTAGGGTGCAGCATGTTCTAAACCCGATTTTGCACATACAGTACGGTATGTCTCTTTTTCTATTGTGGGGTTTGTGCCCGAGAAGACATTGACACCAAGGTTAGAACACAAGAAACATAGGGATTGTTAACTTTTGCTCTTGAAAAAGAACGCAATGATGAATAAGACTTAAAGTGTTAAACATTCACAGTAAAGAGTAAACAGTTATAAAAAGGTTTTTTTTCTAGGTCATCTAAAATTTCCTGTCATCTTCTGCACATAAAAGAACTAAATCTATGCTTCAACACTACGTCCGGTCATAAAACACTTTCTCATCTGCTTACTTGCAAAATTGCAAGCAGACCTGCAAAGTATGCATAAACTGGGGCTTCATCTTGTTTGAATTACCGCATATGCAGTCTGACTAATGTGCGTCACACTGTCAGAAGCAGTCTTTCATTTTAAAGGTTATGAAGACACCGCTGATGCTATACAGTCTTGCCCTGCTGGCAAACAAGGAGAAGCTGCCATTTTTATCTTCCACTGTGTCTCTTAAAAACAGTGGGAATTTGAAAATGAATATGGAAACTGAGAAGAGGAAAGTATTAGTGTTTGCTCATATCTCATTCAGTCCCTCGTTTGTCAGCCCCCTTAATTGAAAGCCTGTGCTTTCAATTATCATAAGCCATTTATTTTATTGGTTTATAAAGAACATAAAGGCAATAGTTTCCCAAGATATTTTGCATATCTGTGATGTTTCATAATTCATTTGCTAGCTATATGAGTTGATATGAAGTCACACAAATAGACACCAAGCAGAATCAATGGCCAAAAGCTGCCAACTCATTATGCAGGTACTCCCTCATCTTCAGCAGTGTAAGAACACTGGATGCAAGAGCCTTTCTCTAATGGCATGACACTGAATGGGGCTCCATGGCAACCAGAAGTTAGAAATTCACTCTTTGGCTGTTCTCAGGCCTCAGCAAAGAAAGCAAGGTACGTTTTTTGAAGCAGAAAAACAGGCTTGATAATAGGAGTGCAACTCTTTGGGAAAGAATGATTCAATTGCAGTTATCTCCAGTAGAAATCAAGACATTAAACAAAAACTGTAAATAATCTATACTTTCACAAGGAGGGAAGTGGTTTTCATGTTACTTCTCCATGCCAAACTATTCCCTGTGGATAGCTGCTCTAATTTGTCTGATTTATCTTTTGTGATTTTGTGAATACAGTAGGCTTGAGATTCACTGAAAGACCTGAAAGACCTTCCTATATTTTGGAGAAGACTGGATATTTAGGAGCATGCTTGCATTTTAGTAAGTATTGCAATGAATGTACACATTGTGTCAAGCTACAGTATTTCCAGATACTTGTGATCTGCATACAGTATATTGATCTTATTCTACATCTTCAGAAAACACACAGCTGTCATATAAAAATCATTTTCTTTTTATTCACGTTTGTACTCTGAATTGTAAAACAGGCAAAACTGGGAACCCCTGCAAAGGATTTTTTTTTAAAAGGACTGTCATCATACAATTCTTTAAATCGGATTGCATTTCTTTTCTTTTTTCTCCAAATTGACGAAAGATCTGATTGGACATGGCAGACAGGGCTGACTGTTTCTGTACATGGCAGAAATTACCAATCTCTGAGAAACAATTCAGATTCTGTGCAAGAATCTCCTTTTATGTAATGTTGTGAGGCCATAGACACCTACTGTACTGAGGCCTTTAATCTGCTCTGGTTTCTTTTGACAGTGAGTGAACTAGTAAATGGAGACATAAACCAGGGAACGCTTTGAAAAATCAGACAGGTAATGTGGAAAGTGACAATTCTACAGAGTAAACATCTGTTTTGTCCTTACAGACCCCACTTCAGAATGTCTTACAGAGCAGTAGCTGATATTCCTGGCAGGCACTCTTTATTTCTCCTAGCCCAGTGCTGTCATGGCAGTCCAATAAGAGCCAGAAACAACAGATTCCCAGCTGGGTGCAAACTTTCTGTTCTGTATTTTCCACAGTCCTTGAGTCTAATTGAAACTGTTTAAAATTCTTCCTGGTGCGGCCTGTGCGATGCGAAGGAACTTAAATGAAACAAAGGCAGATACTTTAGTGGAGGAGCAGGCTGAGGGTTATGAAAGACAAGGACAAGAAAGGAGGCTGGAGACGTGGTGGAACTTCGAAAGCCTTTCCACCCTTAACTGGAAGCAATTTGTCTCAAAGTACAGATAGCCTTGCAATAAGACACAGCGTCAAATTAGAGAGACGTGAGACAAGGCCATCATATGCAGCACATTCCTTCCAATTCCAGTCAACGTGAACAGAGACAATGACAATTTAGGCTAATATAATCTCCCTAATGCCCCATTACTGCGCTGGAATTAAAGGTCATTTTGGAACACACAGATCAGAACTAATAGAAAGGTCAGAATGGAAAGTGTCAGCTACAAGTGCAGAGCTGCATTTCATCGCCTCTCATGCATAAATGAAAACCCTTGATTTTGTGTTTGAGGGGTTTTGTCAGTGACACGTTACCACTTACTGACAAGACAAAAATCAGAGTATCTATTAATTATTTAATCTATCTTTAAACATATTGCTAAGGGGCTACACAGTATTGCAGATCACATTTTTTATATACTATAAATTATATTCCTTGGTAATAAAGGTCAGATCCTGGATTTTACATTCAGTTACAATGATTCTTTAATTTATCCATTTCTCAGCACTCCCAAGAACCAGGGTCTCCTCCCAGCTACTTTGTGTCACAGAAAGCAAATTGTCTCAAGTACAGCTGTGGTAGTAAAGGCTGCTACTAACTTCTGTGGCACAACAAATTTATATCAGAGATTTTTGGGGGCTAAATAGGAGACCTCAACAGTAACTATCCATGCTTGTGAGATAAACTGATTGGAGGAACTTTTTGTTTTAAAGTATTCTGTCTTGTTTTTTTATTGGATTTAGTTTTTGGCATAAAAATATAGTCCAAAATAGACTAAGAGTACTGGTAGTCAAGTTTTCAATGAGTCATACTCTAGGGGCAGTTACCTCAGTCAAGCTTTTTCACTCTGTCTTGCCAACAGCTTATCTTACAATCACGTAAGCTTTTATTTTTCTTTCTGATTTTTTTGTTTTTGTCAAGCACAATCTAAATGTTATGAAACTCAAAAAAGCAGAGTAAGTGTAAATGACTCATCTGATGCCCACACGAGAGAAGCAGTTTGCTCCTATAATCACAAAGTACGCAATTACACGTCTGTGCTTAAGGAAAAGGATAATCATTTCTAATGTGCTGCACAGCTCCTGTTGTGTGACCCTTTACAAACATTTTCTAGACCAGCGACGAATATCCTGCCTAGCCACACACTCTATGAGTGTGGTACATTTTGCAGTTCAATAGCAAGGTATTCTATATCACAACACTGTGTTTCAGAATTATGAAACTGAAATCAAGATTGTGCAGCTTTGAGTGACCGCCGATATGCTTTTTTAAATGTCTGCAAGATAAATCGAACAGGTCTGTTAAAACTGTTGCAAGTCAGGGTTTTCATTTCCAATTTACAATCTAACATCCTTGTTTTTGTTGCACACCCATGAGCAACATCACGGCCAGTCTGTGCCACTGGCAGACATGGGCTCTAAGCCCATGGTGGACACACCATTGATTGAAGAGACATGTGCAGATCTGTGAATGAATTAATCTGACTTATAACATACTGTAATGTGACTTTAAACATCCATGTCACATACAGTATTTGGTGACAAATGAAGAAATGATTACATTGCTGCATATCATACAGATTTAAATAGTTGTATTCTGTGGAATAATTTGCCTTGAATCTAATAATGTGTTGCTATTGCAAGGATCACCTGGCCCACCAGTGACTCATGTTACATAACTTTAAGGAGAGGTAGACAAACCTCAACAAGCAATGGTCTGAGTTAGAGGCCTGAAGATCTTCTGGCTTGAGGGACGATGTCATGCTCATGTAAATGAGGTAGATGGAACAAACCAAATTGTAGCTGTTTTGAAAGTGAGGTAAGTCTACGGGGGCTTGAGCAAAGCATGCTGTACTTATGTGTAAAAAACCTAGATCAGGTGACTCCAAGGACACATGGCTGCCTTTCTCCAGAACATTCATTATGAACTCCATTCAGTTGAGGATGATACTCTTAAAGATCTGAAAAAAAACCTATGGGCGTGAAAAGATCATTCACTCCATTGAGATCAATTTATTTTATAGTGGCTCATTAGTCAAATGCAAGCCTGTGGTGTTGGAGGCACATTACTCCCACAAGATTTAATACAGAAATAACAGTTGCTATGGTGTAAAATGACAGTCCTTTCACGTGGATTTTAAGTAATTTTCTCTCTAAAGAAACATACAGTACATCTGTTAGGCCAGGGTTTAATCTGATGATGATGAAATCAAACAGCATTTTACTTGGTCAGAAAAACCAGCTCTGTAAGAAAAGCAAGGATGGGAATTATTTTAAAAGTTCAGTACTGGGGTGCAATTACTGATCGCTGTGATATACAGCTTTGGCACAAATTCAGCAGCTGAAGCTGAAAATGAGGGCCAAAATAATACTCTTCATAACAGATGTACATGTACTGTATTATACTGCACTGCACATAATACAGTATCGTTGCCAAACTGTGGTAAAGGAGAACCACAGCATAAATTTTCTTGACAGAAATCTCTTATTTAGTAATGTATTGGCAATGTACAGTAAGAATGCAGAGCTCTTGTGTAATTACTGTCCACACACAGACAAAAGGCAATTTCGATAAGATCTGTGATTCACCGGAATATGATAAAAAGATAATAAAATGTTTGGCTTACAGTGTTATTTTAGATCATCTGAGCAAGCTCTCTGCTTTAAAACATACTAATAATAACAATAAAAAACTTTTACATACAGGGCAGCCAGATTAATTCTTAAAGAACCCTTCATTGAAAGGTCAAATAAAATGATACCTCAGCTTCTCTGATCTGATGCATGAGTAAACAGCATTAGTCAAGAACAAGTATTCACATACAGGATATGAAACTTATTACATGGGCTTATTAAATCTCCATGTTAAGCAAATATTTCAGTGCCCATTTATTGAACAGTGTTACTGATTTTGATATTTGGATGAGGCTTTCGGCCCATAGGAATACTACATAAAACTCTAACTCTTGCACGCAAAACCAAATCTTTAATTATCGATACTTATTACTTATGCATTCAGTAGATTCTAAGACAATCTGAGTTATAACACTCAGCTCAGAGGAATGTATTCAGACAACAATTTCAACTCAGGTTTTTTATAGAACACAGAAATAGTGGTTAGAATTATGAAACTGAAATCAAGATTGAAGTTTAAAGGTAGGAACTACCAAAATTAAATTAAGTAATTTTATTAGAACCTACAATAATCTACTTAAAACATTTATCCCCCTATCAGAATTAACAGAAAAAGTATCTACTGTATTGCCAATTTCCCCAATGAGCTTCCCCGATCTACAAAACACAAAGTAACTCTCCATAGAAACTTCATGCTAATTTGTGTACAGTTCATACAGTACCTCTCAAAAACCCAGCACTCCCAAATTGAATTTGTGGTAGAAAATAACATGAAGCATCTTGTGAGAAATCTAAATAAAACCTGTCAGCAACATTGAAATTGACATATAAACAGCTATAAAAGGTATCCAAATTAGTTATCATAGTTAAGAAGAGGCAGATTAATTTAGACAGCAAGTGTATTCATTGTGGATAGCTTGAGAATTGAATACAAGTCTGAGTGTATGGTAGATGTAGATGTTTAATACTTTTCATTTTTCTAAAACAGAAATACAAGAAAATAAGTGGTCTAAATGAAATTAAGTATTCTTTTGTTTTGGGGGACAGAGATCAACATTATGAAGATAATTGTCATGTGCTGATGGATTAAGGGTACAGAATTTCTTTAGTCTTCAACAGAGAAGACTGTGAGGGAACTTCATAAGGTTATTCCAATCCTAAAAAGTATGATAAAGTTGTGCCGTATGTCTTTAGATGTAACATAGCAACAACGAAATACAACCTAAGTGGTAATTAAAATAATTAAGAGCACTCAAGGTTTAAAATCTAAGGTCTCATTCACATAAATAATAATGTTTCTTTATTAGCCCTATACAATTTCTTGCATTAGGAATTCGTCTTTTCGCATACCCCAGCTTTCTCCATGGAGACACAGACACACAGACAGGGAGAGAAGCTTGGAGTCAGAGCGCAGGGTCTGCCATTGTACGGTGCCCCTGGAGCAGTTAGGGTTAAGGGCCTTGCTCAGGGGCCCAACGGAGTAGGATTCCTCTGCCGGCCGCAGGATTTGAACCGGCAACCTTCCAGGCACAGGCGCAGATCCTTAGCCACAGAAACGATATTGCACTATGCAATGTATGGTGAGACTGTTTTAGTATAAAGCACGTGATATATTCTTCTATTAATCCATTCAGAATCATTCAGAATGTGAATAAGCAGCCAGTTTACAAAGTTTTGCTGGTGTTTGGAATTCAGTGTGTTTAAGCAGACTCCCCCAGTTCCCTTGAAAATGACTCAATGAGTCCCACAGATAAATAAACTGGTAGTAACCAAGGGCCAAATGGAATTATCTTATTTGTAACCTTCCTTATGTGCTTCAGTAAATACCATGAAATTAACTTAAAATGTACTACTGAATCAAAAGCTCAATAACTAGTGCATATTGCCCCTGAATGTGTACTGTGAAAATGTTTTGGTCCAAATTTAGTTTATATGGTGCTAATAAGGTTTTACTTCACGGTGATATTATTTTCTTATTCAAAAGGGTACTCATCTCTCTATTGCTGCTGCTGCTGCTTAGAATTTCTGAACACGCATAATAGTTCCAGAGGCTCCAATGGGAATATTAGGAAAGGAGGAAAAAGGTTTTTATCTCCACTGAGTGAGCAGATGCTTTATTTGAAACCAGCATCTTCATGCTTAGCGTTAAAATATACCTCCCATCTGAGCAGGACTTAAAAACAAAGCCTAGCTTGAATTTAATCAGATCACAAATAATAATATTCAGTGAAACTTACATTTGAACAGAGTAACGAAAATGGAAGAAAAGATGACACAGGGCTTCAAAAACATATGTACAGTATAACAGCCTGTTAACACTTCAATTTTTTTTTAGTTTTTGAATTCATGGAGGAAACATAGGCAACTGAACTCACTTAACAGTGGGAAAACAATGTTTTAAGGAAACTGAAAGGTGTGATTTTTGGCTCTTCAATAACATAACATTCCTCTTGTTATTTTAAATGGTGTATATGGAGCCTGTAATAACTATATATACAGTATTAAATTTACTACCATTTAATACGAAATTTACAGCAAAATCTGGATTAAACCCAGGCATCAATGTACTGTACCTGCCAATCACAAATTTCATATCTTTAACTTGATGGTGCATTTTGAAAATCATCCTTTTGAAAATCACAGAATAACAAATATCCACCATAAATTACCAGCATAATTGAATTAGATGCAATGATTTATATTTGGATTGCTTATAAACGTCAAAGAATATGATTAACCCTATAAAGGTTGCTGTATATTACGTCAAATGTTGAGAAAACCTCAATAAAACCCTGCAAATTTACAGTAATATAAAAACAGCGGCATGATGAAGTATGACAACATGAAACTGTGGAAAACCATGGCATTAAAAACAATGCCAAAGCAATCTAAAGTAGAGCTAACCACCTAGAAACTAAGAAATGTGATCTACTACGATAATTAATACATTTACTACAATTCAGAAGGCTAATTACTACACTATCTTCTTATTACAGTACATTGTTGGCCAGCACTCCAAGGTAATAGGCACATACTGTATCATACTGTGGTTGGGCAGGCAGTGTCAGCTGTTGCTTTGCTATAATTGGTTGAGACATAATTTTCCCAGACGGCGACTGGAAACCCTGTCTTGGTCTCATGAATCGGCCTCAAGCGGCCAGTTTGAGGTACTGGGCTGCCGGAGGGCGTGGGAGCACCTACCTGGAATGCACAAGCATTTGTAGCTCGTCCCAACACTGCGGCAGATTCCATGAGCACAGGGGTTGAGGGCACAGAAGTCAATCAGTTGTGCACAGGTAGGCCCTGTGTATCCGGGACCACAGTTACAGCTGTAGGATAGTCCATCAGAGTAGCAGCTACCATTGTTCTGACAGGGGGAGGAGGCACAGGGGTCTATCTTCTGCTCACAGGCTGAGCCCAGGAATCCTGAACAGCAGCAGAGAAAACACAGCTACACATTTCTATCCAGCGCAAGGAGAAACAAACATCGGAAGAGTACTAAATAAAGCAAGTTACTGTATAATAACAAATGTAATAATATCTCCTACTGTAGATGTGGAACACACATAGTTTAAAATAATCCAGAAACTAAAACAAACATTTACTGTAAGGTCATGGTGTCAGATACAGTACCTGCAGAAAAACTCAAGAACCATTATATAGGCTCCATTCTTGAAAACATGAGGCAGGTCAGATTCTGATGATATACAGTGTAGTATATGTTACATGCCATTAAAAGAACCAGATGGAAGAATTTCCATGTATTATTGGTTCATGCTACTTGATGTTTATAAGTAAGAGTACTGTTATAATTTGAGTTTGTGTTGGCAGGGTCATAAGCCCAGCAAATTACTGTATATATATTTATGAACATCAACACAGAAAACATTACAATTAATTCTAGCTGACAATTTAAGTGTGGCGTATTTGGAAATGATAGGCATTTGAACAGAAATACCTGTTATGAAAATCACTGTTGATAATACCCCCTCCCCCCCAACCACTTTCGTCCTCTGTGTCACCCTCTGCCTCTATTGTTGCACGCATTAAAGTCATTTATGACACCTCAAAGCTCTCATTTAATACTGGTTTTTGTTTCACACCTGGTTCTGACTCTGCCTGTTCTCCTAGCACATTCTTCCAAGAAAACAAACAGAAAATGAATTTACAGAGAGAGCTGCAGTGAAATGATAGTGTTCTGCCTTTTAGAGTACTGTAGCTTCACTGTGCCATATGGATACTAGAAATACCCCCGCTCTGCTTTCCAGACCAAATAGTAGGATAAAAAGTAGGAGTCTACAATATTCATTGCAAACAGCACAGATTCTTTGCACATTGTGTGTGTTTGGTAGAACTGGCTATAGTTAATGTTTTATAGAAAACCCATAGCAGCTGATAGCTAAACCTTGAGGGATTCTGAAATTGTGCTTCAATGTCAAGAGACTGCCACTCCATTAGCTGAGATGCCTTTGCATATGAAATACACACAATAAGAATGATTTTCTTTCTTTTTTATTTAACTTGAATCAATTTTATGAGGGGCAGCCACCTGACATATTGAGCATGTCTGCCAAAGAGATAGACTGTGACTGTGCATAATTTAAGTTACTTTCAAATGATTGTGACACTGTAGATGCCTAATCAGAGCCAAACAGGAGGGTGTTGAGGTGATAATATGGCCTCCAGGAGTCCTGCTACTAAGACTAAATAAGGAAAGTAATGAGATTACATAAATGAACTGCCTTTTTTTGAAGGGATGGGTGGAGGGCAGTTAATATGTCCCCTAACTTATACATATAATGTCACAATGGGAAGTGTAACTTTGATTCCAGGATTTGGGAACAATGAATAATCACCTCTGGTTCTGCTCACATGATGTCATACACTCACTGGTCAAAATATTAGGAACCCCCTCTCAATGCAAGTGCTGGGACTGAGCAGCAAGAACAAATGGTGTGGTGTGCATGGTACTAGGCAGCCTGATCCCATCCCATAATTCTAGCAACATCACCTCTGGTTGAGCTGGTGATGGGGGTAAGGCAAGTGGGATTGATCCTGCCAATTCACCACATTTCAACAGACCTGAGATCACGGAATTGCTTAGGCTACTTAAGATAATGGAAATCTGTCTCAGTCAAAACATCAGCTGCTTGTCACTGAGAGTGTACTGTATATGCGTTTGACTGGGGGTTCTTACAGAAATAGGGAACAACAGTGGGTAATTGCTTTTTTTTAAAATGCTATAAAGATCTGCCCAGAACCTGCAGTGCCTGACTAAAGCCTAATAAAAAAATAAGTGTGTTTGGTCTGGCAGGTATTACTGGAATAGAGACTTAATAAATTTATGTTACCTCTGGTTTTCAAAATAAAATAACACATTAAAAACTAAAAATCTTCATTTTTTGGCAGGGAATGTACATCCTTCCCCACTGAACAATTCCTGTATTTTAATAAGCATCGGCCTTAATGGCTGTGATGGGAGGACTGGCTCTCTTCCTGAAATGGTAATACACATAGTTTCTCACATTTCCTGGGAGCTGGTAGTCCAGAAGAATTTGGTCAGCTATTGCCAATTATTGCCTCACACATGCACAATGTCTCATAGCAGGAGTCCCAAGCCTGTGCCATTAAAAGCCACAATCTAACGATTTTTCCAGGTCTCTGCTGAGAAGGACTGGATGAACCAGTGAAGTGGTTAGTGTTCTGGATTCCTGAGGAAAGGTGGGGATGATGCTGTTGTACCCTTAATTCAGGCATCTTACCCAACAAATCCAAGTCTATAAACAAGCACTAAATTTGTATGGGAATAACAACTCACTTTCTAATAAAAATGTCAGATCGATCAATGAAAATAAGTTATCCAGTATAGCTTTGATTTGACCGGTATAGGACAATACTGTACATACTGTAGGTTTGCCAAAGACAAAAAAAAACAGATATCCACACGAGCAAGAGTGTCACTGCTTTGTGCTTATTTCCAGCTCTGACACACCTTAAAAGAAAGGACATCAGAGTTTATAACGGCCCTAAAGAAAATGAACCAAAAACCCTTTTTTTTCTTTCTACTTTGATCTAAATATAGAACGGCTACAGTACAACCAGCTGAATCGTAATGTTGGAGATAGGAAAGAAAGCACTCTGGGGAATATAGCTTTCACACAAAGGAACAGCAGTGAAGATTTAGATGACAAAAGATACCAAATTAACTTTTTTTTCAGGTTTTACAGAAACCCAAGGGAGTAACAAAACAAATAGAAAAGTACAGAAAATATAATAGTTATAAATCAAGCTCTGTCTATTCAACAAAGTATAACAATTGTACACTGGTATAAACGCACCTCTCAGACCACTATAGTTTGATTCAATCTGTCTTTGCAGTATAGCATTTGACTTCCAAAACTTGAAACAGCACATAATGGCCTTATTTCCTGTTAATAATTGCTAAAAAATATACTTTTTCTGAGAAATTCAATTTTGAGATCTTTCTGGTGAATTTTTTGAAATCTGAATGTTGAATGATGGTTCTTTCCTTGTAAAACTGTAGTTCAAGCAGCATGCTTATTTACTAGTCAATTTTTATCTTGTTATTTTGTTTTGGAAACAGTTAAGCTTCCTTCTGATCATAACCATATACCACAGCCAGCATTTGTCACCAAGCAATTGATATTAAGTATAAAGAATAAATATTGTTTGATTTGAGACTGCTTTTTAGTTACTCAAACGTCTGTTGACAAGAATGAGTTAAAATTCTCTTTTACACTGAATCAAATTTGTACAGAATTATACTTATTTTCACTTTTTTTAAAGCTGCTTATTCTGAAAGCAGGTTTCAAACAAAGCTGAGCATTTTTTTGTAGGGCTGGGAATTATTTCCCCATTGCAATGTGACCATTACATAGTTCATAAAATATTTAGTGTTGTTCCTGAAGAAGTCCACATACTAATTAAAGTGCACTACAGTTATCCCCCTATTGTTTTACACTTTGTTTTTTTAAGACTGCAACAAATTAAAATTAAATGGCCCCATCCATGCACTTCTACATCCAATTAATAATTCACTCACAGATGCATTATTAAGTAAGTGGCTTGACAATTGCCTCATGTCCCATGAGTTAATTTCTATACGGATTTTATCTTTAACACAAAAAAATACCCTTAGCAAATATCAGCCTTCCGTGGCAAGTGTTGTTTTAAAGAGAAGGCTTTTACTTCTAGTACAGTGTGATGTGCTGAAGGGAGCACGCCAGCAACTCTGTAATTTAAAATTGGTCTTTTTCAGTTTTTAGCCTGGATTTACTTCATCCCTGAACAAACTATTTCTACTTTCTAGGGGGATTTAAGCCTGTAGTGTAAAGACATTTTATACTTCTTTGTGCATACATATGCAAAATACTAAGGTGTAATTTCTACAGTACATGGCTAATAACTGCATATTTTATAACCCTTCCAAAAGCCATCAGAAGCAACCAAGATCTATGCCATTATTTGTGCCTACCTTCTGGGCATTGACAGCTGTACCCACTGACACTACTGGAGCAGGTGCCTCCATTCTTGCATGGTTGGGAGATACAGTGATCGATTAAAGCCTGACATCGCTTTCCTGTGTACCCTGGAAGACAGATTAATGCACTTCTTAGCTCTTATTCTTAGAGGAAATCAATGAATTGTTGCATGCACTTAAACGTGAAAGTCTCTTATAGATTATAATTTCATTATATAGGGCTAGTATTTGTACACACAGGTGATTATAATAAGGAACAACTAAATAAAAATTCGATTTGTACCCTCTCTGTATGCTTTTATGAACCTAGAGAAATCCCTAAATTCAGGGGAAATGAATTATTTAAATAATTAATTTGGGTGCTACATTATCTTAAGTAACATACCGTACTGTACTGAGTAAATCGTGAATGCAACTAAGAAATCTTTGAAATACACTAAAACACTTCCCTTCTTAGTCAGATGGCATGTCTAATACAAACCTTCTGATCAGATACATCATTAAATTAATAACAATTAAATTACTGCTGTTTCAGTATGCAATGACTTCACAGCAATCACACTCGTTCAGATCAATTAGACCTTATTAGTGATACAGAACATCGAGTTGCTGCATTGTTAAGATGTCTCTTGCTCTTTCATAATGCCATCTGCACAAAGGGGATTTAGTCATATAGTGTAAGACTCAATTAAGATCAGCGAAAAAGCACAGAAAAGAGAACATCGTTTTCTTAAATTACTGCTATTTAAGTAGTCATGGAATTACCAGCTTATTTGCAAATCAACTTAGACGCTTTGCACCATAGTGCACTTCAGAATTGTCATATCAATTTCATGACAATAATACAATATTGTCCACATTCAGTGAAACAAAAAAATTGGCAAAATCTTCTAAGGAGATTCCTCAATCTTCTGTGTTAATGCATACATTTATTTTTTGTAGACTAGTGAAATCTAAAATCAGCTTTGTGGTGCAGGAAAATACTATGTTCCATCTGCAACTAAAAACATTACACCTGAAGAAGGCTATATAGCTGAAACAAAGTGTTTTTTTCTTTACCTTTCAGCATAGAATGAACCTTTTCCTGTTCCTTTAACAAAATATGGAAGCATACAAAATATATGATATGATATGACTCCTTGTCAATCCCATGAGAAAACAAGGCAGAGCATGCAGAACACGACTGAGACTGTTCTCTTCACTGGAAAGCCTGCAGCCACTGGGACCTTCCCAGCTGAGACTAGACAGGCCTCGTTTATTACGCCTCCCCAAGTTATTTCCCACAACGTTTCCTATGAGCCCTTGGAGGAGCACATACAACAAAACGGAGGCTGTTTCAACAACTGAAATAATAAAAGTAATTACAAAAGGCTCCCTCTATTACCATTGCATGTGTCACTATATCTTCACCATTTGAGAATGGAGTTTTGGAGATGCATCTCAGGACAGACTTGAGTCGGCCAGGCTGTCATCTGGCTGCCAGCAGTGATCCCTATGGGAGCTGCATCACTCTTGTCAACACTAACTCTACTGCAGGCACGGTGAGGCTCACAGTGTGAATATGAAGCTCGCTAATCTGACAGCACGTTTCAGAACAGAGCATTCACAATCTAAGTGCATGCCTTGCTGGCACACAGGACTCAGTGAAAGACAGAATAGAAAACAACTGGCAATTCTAAATCGGGGAGTATAAAAAGAAAAACCAAAATTGGCAAATTCAGAGTTTTGTTCTGTTCCAAAAGAAAACTTTTAGAAAACAGGTTGAGCCTCCTGCTACAGATCTGGTCTGGGTCCGTGATTAGGATTCCCCAACCCGTTGCATACATTTGGCCAAGAGCCCCTGGAGTTATTTGAGGTCCTAGCCAGCTACAGTGTAAGTCATCCTTGGTTTGTCATACAATGGCAGCTCCTGTGGTGCCTGTGGACTTGTGGTAGTATTGGTAAGAGCTGCTGCTATCTTCCCTCTGATGCCAAGCTGCTGTTGGAGTAGTGAGACTTCCCTGATGTCTTCATTGCTCCTGCTTGTTATCATTTAAACACATGCATCATTGGAAAATTAATTCTCATTTACGATGGAGAATCTGGAGTGTACCCATCAATAAGAGTACAAATCCAAGTGTAGTACCGTGCTCAATGGTACAACAGTAGAACCTTGCAGTTATAAATTCAGAGCCCAGAGTCCCCAGGAGGAAGAATAAAAAAAACCTCTTTCTTAAACAAATGAATGTCCTCACATATTATAATAGATTCATTATTCACTGTTTTCTATTCAAACACATGTTAAGAAGTGTAATGTGAAAAATGGAGACCAGTCAGACATATTGTGACTTTCCTGGTTTCATACCATTCTATGTAGACACACTTTAATATCAGTGAGCCCAGTCTTGTTCTTTATCAGGGTTTCTTTGCAGCTCCTGCAGTAGATCTACAAACAATCTAAGCACAAAATTCTGGCAAAGACACATGCATTTCGATTAAAGGTCAACTACTGTACATGTAGGTTTCTGAATCTTGAAAAAGCAAGACAAAATAGCTGAAAAGAGTCTTAAAAAAGTGAAAAGGTGACTGTTGGATATACAGCTCAGAACATATTCTCTGTGCTTTAGAAAGTCATCTATTATAACTACAGTGGGTGTGCAAAACAATTAGAGCTAAAAAAGAAGAACTACAGTAGAAGCCATTCCAAGTGATTCCTCTTCTCATTGTCTTTGAGCAGTAGGACACTCCCAGCAGGAAGAATTAATAGAATGCCCTTGTAATTTATTTCTGAGGAAAATATTTTTTTTTATATTTTTTGACAAACAGAAGCTGTCAAACAGAGGATGGCAGTATTATGTTTCCCCGAATTACAAGAAGTCCCTCCTGGCTAAGCCTCCAGCTCCCAAATTATTCACTTTCACATTCTCATGAATCATCAACAACAACACAAAAATCACAGCTTCCAGCACTGTAAGTATCCCCTTAGGTGAAGAAACATATCAGCTTTGATCACTGTCATCACTTAAGAAGAATACAGTACAGACCAGATTTCTGATACGATTTGAAAAGAAATTAGAGAATAACAGTCCAGTCTTCTTCAATCAAACCATCAGGTCACATGTTTAGACTTGTTGAAATGACAGCAATGGGTAAAATTGCAGGATTTACCAGAAGAATACAGGTGCTAAAATTTGTTGTATTCAATATTACAAAATACAACTAAAATTTGCCCTTAATATCTCCCTTTCAGAACAGCTTCACACAACACCCTTCTCTGCATCTGAGATACTGTATGTTAGCCTGAACTGTGCTGAGTGTTTGTCACAAATGTTAATGAAGAGTGATCACGCAAGATACACAACACCAAGCAGGAAACCACACCACTCAGATTACCTAGTTATTTAGTGATTCGATTCTTGGATATCAGTTATAAATGATGAAGCCTTTCAAGTCATTCTTACAAGCACTTTGTCATACTGGAGTCGGTCATCAGCACCGAAGAGAAGGCTGATTAATCCCAGTGCTTGCTTTGAATGAGATGCCATTCTAGTTGTCTAAATTTGTCTTGATTGATTAACACGCCAATAGTAAATCCAAGGTTCATTTGTTGTGGTAATGTTACTGATCAGGAAAAAAGAGGCTACGCAAAATTTTACTATGAGAATTAATGCCTAAAATGATACAAATACCCATACTTTAAAGTTTATCAACACATATTTCACGACTGTCAGCTTCACAGTTATAATACATTCTGACCTCCTTTTTCTTTTATTGTAACAGTGGAAATTAAATCACTGCTGTATAATGTAATTTGAGTTTAATATTAGCCACTAGATGAATGTCTGGAATGAAAATAACCACGATTAATGTCTGCAAAGAACATTTCTATATTTCTCAATGTAAATAAAAATATCCAGCTGCACTCCAGCAAAAAAAAAAATGATACACATGTGCTCTTCCACCCCTAGGGAAAGGCCTCTCCTTCCAGCATTAGTCTTGCCCACGAGGGTCTGCAGTCACACAGCCCAGCATGAGTGCGGCTTCATCACAGGGTCAGAGGCTTTCCAGGCGTTTAGAGACGAATGCAAACCAGTTCATCACCTTGCACCAGTTTCATTTTGATAGCACTTGTACCACTTGAGTAACCCAAATGGTCCTTGTCAAAATAACTTCAGGAATTTGTGAACTCAATATAGGAGACATGATAAAATAAATTAGTGTACCTTTCTTATTATAGGTATAATAAAACTGTCCAGTGGTTTAACCAGAAAGTCACTTGCTAAGAGCGCTGGTTGAGCCCTATAGCCTGTAGTGTATAACATCAATCTCCACTAATTCCTTATCATTTCTAACATCATTTCCTCACAACTAGGAAACTAACTCAAGGTAAATACTATGTAGAAACTCCTTCTCTCCCTCGCATTTGTCTTTTCCACCTCCACCCCATCTCCACCTTTGCAGCTGTCCCTTGGTCACTCCTCACTGCGCATGGGGACCTAACCTTAATTCTTAGTTGAGGTTATTCCTAGTGAAATGGAACACTTTGCAAACTACTAGCTAACTCCTGCTAACTCTTCTGCAAGGCACTGTGGGGCTTAAAGTGTGCTACATAGTGAAGAGCTAAGACAAATTGCAACTGGCAATGGGCATGTCTCATGTAACATCTTCCCATGAAAAGTGTGTGGGATGCAGTGTGCAAGGTTCTGAAACTCAATCCCAGGTAGGGGCAAGCAATGTAGCTTGCTCTAATTCCTTCCAGATGGCTCCCAGGTCCACTCAGCCTGCTTTCCAAACAAATACTGAGGGTTAATCCTTCTGGGGGTAATAGGCTGACCGGAGTGTGATGCCGACATACATCACCTCCACTTCCAGTGTCGGATGGTCAAGAAAAATGGTTGCCCTTGCTCCCTGTTATCCGTGGGCCTGTATGGCTGGAAAAGAGACTGACCTACCTTATTCTAGGATTGTGGGTTCAGTCCCAGATGGTGACTCTGCTACTGTACCCTTGAATAAGATTATATTGCAGAATTGCTGCAGCGAAGCCAGCTGTATAAATGGTTACCAAAATGTGTACGGTAGGTAAAGGAATTGGTAAACGTAACCCTTGTAAGCTGCTCTGGTAAAAAGCATTTAAGAAAAAAACAAAATGTTGGCAATGAAGAATGAGGAGGATATAAAATAGCTACACAATTTTGATTCAAAACAATTATAATATTGAACCTTAAAGGAGAGATTTTTGAGAGGTGCAGAGATCTACAGAGTTGGGGTGTCATCATCAGCATCTTAAAGCCTTCATTCACTCCTGCCGTGTTGTCTCACTTGTGTTTCACCGATACAGCATCTAAATCTTTCGCAGTATTATTAGCTGTCTAAACTGATTCCTTTCTGGACGAAGTTAAGACATCACTGTGCTACTACATTCAACAATCGCAGATCGCAGCTCTATTGAAGCTGAGCTTGTACTGTAGCTGAACTTGCAGCGGACCTTGCAGATTGATCAATCCAGAGCCTAGTTACATACCAATATGATACAGAGAAGAAAATGTTCAGAATAAAGCTCTCTCTCTGCACTCTGTTACACACCTGGTTGGCAGGTGCAAGTGAAGTTTCTCCCATCTGCTCCTTGCCTCAGATCAATGCAGGATCCATTATTTTCACACAGATTCTCGTAACAGGCATCAAACTCTTCGCAGAAGATTCCAGAATACGCTTGTTCACAGTCACAGTAGAAGGCAGTCTGAAACATTGAAAGCAAAGAAAAAAATGTTTATACTGTAGTTTAACACTGTCATACAGTATGAAGCACCCCACAGGCCAGAAAAAAAAACTCTTTCAGGTATTATTAATTATGTTTGCAGGACCCCAATAATAATAACCAGCTATTTCTCTGAGCGTGAGGAAAGATTATGCAACTAAAAGTGAGTTTCTGCTGTGATTCTCACCAGGACAGACTAAAAAAATGCGTTGATGAAAGCAGATTTATTTTAAACAAGATATATTAGATCAGACAAAGGCATTAAACCAATTTGTACAAACAATATACAGTATAAACACATAACCTCCAATGCAGTCGATTAATCTTTCTTCTGGTGACAGAATGTAGCACAGCAGAGCTGGCAGGAGTGTTACTGTGCAAGCCAGGCTACCTCACAGCTCTTTGCTGAAACTTTTAAACAGTGAAGAGAGCAAGCACATTTTATCCCACCTTTCATAATGATACTGCAAATAAAACACATTTTAAAAACTACCGCATACAAAATGAGAAAGAGTTTTTGGACTATGGACTAAAGCCTCTAAATCTATCCTACTGCTGTATATGCTGTGTATCACAGCAAATATACCTGTGCGTATTTTCATTGAGATTTTGAATCCAACTAACTGAATATTATAGGTCATACTCGTATGTGTTGGACTTGAAAAATCTATGGAGAAAAGCTCTATAGATTTAGGTATTACCTTGTGAATATTTCTGAAAACATAGATTTATTGCTTTGAATGTTTTTATTCTACACTATTTTTCTGCAGACCTCATCATTTTATACAATGCTGCAAGTAGGTATGCAGTGAATCAATATCCAGGCTGCTTACCTCCAGAATATATTGCTAGTTTTGTGCATAATCTGTAGAATTTATAATTGTAAGTATCTTTTTTAAAATATATAAGTACAATTTCTTGTGCAGTGTAATAGTACTGTATGTTTGTTTTCCTAGGAGCACTGCAACAATATTAACCTCTACGTAAAGGAATTTGAACATGTTCATGTCATCATTGGTAGCTTTAGAATGTTTGACTTTGATTTATTTTGAAAGTGTAAAGAATCCTGGATTCACTGTTCTTACAAATGCTGTATTATAACATTTTTGAATGTGCGGAGCAATCTCCAGTTGGAATCCTTATTCACTCTCTTTGCCTTTCCATAATAATTAAGATATACAAACAGTTTTGTACCAGCTTGACACTGGTAATATGTAACCAGCATTACCTGCTGTTTTTAAATAGCACAGTATTGCTTTTTAAATTTCTCTCGGTTTCTGTGGTACATGTCAATGTCTGTGGGTAGTAAAACACTGATCATACTACTGTACATTATAAAACAAACCGTCATCTTTCTTTCCTCCAGAATCTTTCTATTCTGTTAAATATTTTCACATTAAGAGGATCCACAGAAATTAATGGGGGATTGGTCATTCCTTTTCACTCTTAAAAACAGTGCTGCAATTTCGTATGACAATACATTGGACATTTATGTGTCGATTAAGGACAACCGACTGCTGTTGATGCGGCCACCTAAATGTGGAGTCAAAGTTCCTAGCTGTTATTCCATTTGTGCTTGCGATCTGGGTACTCTTACCTTTGTGGGCTGTGTGATGCACTTTCCCTTGCCTGAACACTGAGGGTCATTAAAACTGCTCCCAGGTTCCACACAGTTGCTGACTTTGACGTTCAAATGGAGACGGAGGGTCACCACCGACTTCCCAGACTCATTCAGAAATCCTGGAAGAAAACGTGCAGTCAACATCCACTGTTCCATATCCGCGAACAGGATGGCAGAAATGCTCTACTTGATGACAAATGCAATACGATCACGGGCGTTACTGCTTTGGGCACCAAAATACACAATCTTGCAAAAAGTTCTGGAACCGCACAGAATCACTTACTATGTGCTTGTGTCAAATATATGTATGTGTCAAATATAATATAAAAACCACATCAGAGGCTGTAGAGTAGTTGGAGTTTCAAGAGTTGTAGGCATGATGGCATGATATTGCCATTTTGTTGCCTTTATTACTTGAGAATAAATTTAATAAATTAACAAAAGTTATTTGTTTAAAATTTAAATTATTTATTTCTGGGTATAAATTGATGCATGCAAATTACCAGCATAGAGGTTACAATCTGAGATGACAGCCATAAAGTCATAAACTAGAAACCATAAACAATGACTACTGAAAGCTTCATGAACAATATAATTTACTATTTTCCATTAAATTCTGGAGAGAGCTGGCTACAAATGAAAATGAAATGGTCAAGGGAGAGTCATCACATTATTCCAATGTCCTGACTCAAGGAGAGCTATAAATACCACAGCATTACACAACATCTATTTCATATCCAGCATGTATGAGCAAGGCTAAAGATATATTAAAAACACCACAACACATGTTATTCAATGTCACTTGTTCGGTAAGAAGGAACTGTTTTCTATGACTTACTTCCAGAAAAGCATTGCCATTTTTATTCTTCTGTACATAATGTAACAGCAGTGAGAGCATTTTAAATGCCACCAAATCTTATAAAATAAACATTATTTCCTGAAGCACTGAGCATTTGTACATTCATAAGAGGAAAAATCCTGAATGCCCTCACAGCAGAAAGCTGCGAAAGCTTGTAAACCTAATTTGGAGTGCAACTGTTTCACATTCAGTTCTGACTGGCATGGCCATCCATAGCATCTTAGATGTACTGTACTGTACACGTGTTGGTGGTACCAGTCTTGAAAAAAATAAATATTGCAGATTAAACAACACACTATGGAGGATTAGAAGGAAGTAACTGATTAATACATGTATTTTGTTGTACTCAACACTTTAGAGTATATTGCACTATTTGACAGTTTACTGGACAGAAAATGATCTGTTCTCATGGGAAAACCTTTCTTATGCTCCCAGAATTTTGAGAAGATGCTTACATCCAGAATAAATTGCTAGTTTTGTGCATAATCTGTAGAATGTATTATTGCAGGTATCTTATATATATATATTAACATATATATGAATGTATATATAAAATAATAATATAAATTCAGCATAATAGTATATGTTTTGAGAAGATTTTTCAATATTGTAGACATTAATTGGGATCCTTCACAAAGTATGACATATTATAGAAATGCTGCAGTTGTTGGCTGGTTTGTGTTTTCAATCTACACCTCTAGAAAAGTGCCTGTACCTGTGCAGGAAGGTACTTCTTTCCATGTTATTGAGTTCAAGAGTTCAAAAATACCTTATAAAGATTTTAAACTCTCCACAAAATTCCTTTCTTTCACACGCCCAGAAATAAGTCCTGACAATGTGCTTTTTGAAGTGTGTGAATGTCCAACATGTCCCATTTTCTCTATCTCCTTTGTTATCAGTTATTATCCTTTAACTTTTGGGTGGAATAGAATAAGGACAAAGACAAATATCATAAATCACCTGCTCACACATATGTGGGAAATGCAGAAAAAGTTTTAGAATGATTATACCTTTGTATGCAAATTACCAGGTGTGTAAAGAATAAGAGAAATCACCTTAAAAAAATCTGCCTACCAGGTGGACTTCTGTAGTTTTTCACAAGAAATATTTATTCAGAAAAACATCATAAGCACACTCAAACAATTGCTCTTAGTTTTTCCCATCAAATTCTTACCATTCTTTGTACTTTACAATCTAAACAACAAAATCTTTACAATCTAAGCAATAAAATCTGCCTGTCAGCTACTAGATGTTCTTATTTCTTCAGTCTTATTCTTCCTAAGCACATAGCCGTCAAACCTAAAGATCAGGAAATGCTCAAAATATTCCTTTTTTCCTTTTATTGCTTTCATGTTCTGAAACTAACAATACAACCATTAGATGCAGAATCAGCCTGTCATTTAGTAACTGCCCTCTTTTCACACCAAAGGCAGAAATAATACTTCTGCATGGTGAGCAAACCTTGCTCAGGATAACCTACTTGGCCTTCAAAAGCCCCAGGCCAGAACCATGACGTTAAAATTATTTCACACCATGGATTCTAAATTCAGACATACAAGCTTTTGATACTCAGTCACAATCTTTCCTTTGAATTGGGTTAAATGTTGTATTTTATGTAGGTCTGTTTAACTCAAACAAAGATACAGTAGATTCACACAAATGTGCAGGCATTCTTCATTCAAATCAATGCTATCTGAAAATTAATTTAGCTTAGTAAATACAGTCTATACTTAGTTTCTGAATTATATCAATGATGTTTTTTGAGCAAGAACTTATGCCAGCAATTCAGAAAAATGATTCTAGGATAAAATAGGAGATTTTTAGAGACTGGGTCAAAGTTTACTATACCCTGTACCTTCAGTACATACTGTAGATATCAATGTTACTACCTCCTGTACAGACTCTGTTAATTCACCTGGACTCTATCACTTGCTAGGACACATCAGTGCTCCATACATTTGAAAGAAGAAGTTGTTGATAAATGAGAATAGCTTAATAAACATTAAAACTAAATTAATTAATGAATAGAAAGCTGCATTAATTATAGTAGAGTGCCGGCTTTGCTGATCAATGTTCCCTTTTTTAGCAAATGCTACTCTCATAATTAAAGCAGTATGTGTGGGACAACTAGTAAAAGGTGTGTCCCTATAATACCACTCCAGAGAGTCACTCCTGTCAATTATCAGAATTAGGGACTACCCAAAAAAGGTAAAAGTGTGATTCAGCAAAGACATACTGTACTGTTTGCTTGTATTTGCCATCACTGCTGGACTGCAAACAAGAGAAAAAAACAGTTCATTTTTCCTGCCCACATATTCTAATTATTTTCTTCAGAAGTTTGAACTGCATTGCTCATAGCTTCCCTGCTGTTGATTATTGCGTAAGGTCTGCACTATGGCAATTCTTTCAGATGGCCCATACGCACAGTATAATACGTCAAACCAATGCCCTGCATTTGATAGTACAAGAATATGTAATAAACAGATGTATATTTAACTTGTTTTACTTTTATCGCATATTTATACTCTTGCTATAACTGCTATATATTTTTCAACATGCAAATCGTGTTTAAAATGAATCTTCAATAATTAAGAAGGATGAGGGCGTGCTCAATCATTGTAAATGTATCCAGTAAATGTATCAAGCTCAGCGTGTCTATGTGCTACGTGTCAATTGAGCCCAATTATTGATTTGTTCAAACTCCTTATGATAGGTTCCAAAAAAATTTTTAGACAGCCATTTGCAGATCATGAAAAGGGAAAAAAAGACATAAAATATGAGCATGAAATAATTTCTAAATTGCACATTTCTCTACTGTATGTATGGAAAAAAATCAAAAAGCCAATTAATGTTAATTTCAAAAGGCCAACACATCATCTATCTGCTACACAGAGCTAACTCTCACCTGGAGAAGACGGGGAGCATTGTGAGAGTTATGTTCTTTGACTTCTCCAGTGCCTTTAACACCATCCATCCACCTTTACTGAGAGATAAGCTAAGGGCGGCGCAGGTGGACACTCCCCTGCTGTCCTGGATTATAGACTATCTGACCTGCAGGCCACAGTATGTACGGCTACAGAGCTGTGTGTCCGAACAGGTTGTTAGCAGTACTGGGGCTCCACAGGGGACTGTCCTTGCTTCATTCCTGTTTACCTTTTACACCTCTGACTTCAGGTACAACTCTGAGACATGTCATCTGCAGAAGTTTTCAGATTACTCTGCAATTGTGGGGTGTATTAGAGAGGGGAGGGAAGAGGAATATAGGAGCTTGATTACCAATTTTGTGGAGTGGTGTCATCTTAACCATCTCCAGCTTAACACCAGCAAGACCAAAGAAATGATCTTTGACTTTCAAAGGAATAAGCCTCCGCTGAACCCTGTTTCCATCCAGGGTGAGGACATAGAGGGCTTACATTCCTGCAGGTACTTAGGGGTACACCTGGATGAGAAGCTGGAGTGGTCTGGTAACACTTATGCCCTGTACAAGAAGGGTCAGAGCCAACTCTATTTTCATAGGAGACTCAGGTCCTTTGGTGTGTGTGGAACACTACTACACATTTTTTATGAATCAGTGGTGGCAGCGGCCATCTTC